GATCGTTAAATCCGGACTCGGCGTCGTGTTTGTGCGGTCGATCCTGCAGGAGGATGGCGTCTGTAGAGCCTGGGTTTCGGCTTTGGTTTGGGGACTCTGCCTGGGCCCCGAAGTACCCAGTATCCTGCTGGTAGTAGCCCTGCTGGTGGGACGACATATCATTTGGAGTCGTGGAAATCAAATCCTGCCTCGAACTAGAGTTTGCAGGGTATGCGTTATCATCGAAGACGGTAGCGAACGGTGATTGCGTGGCGCTACGAGCTGGGAGATCCTGCTGGCTGGTGCTGGAGTAAGGAGCAGCGCCAGGTGGAGGGTAGTTCGAGTGATATGACGGTGCAGGTGTCGCTTGCGGCGAGGGCGCGTCGTGCTGGCCGAAATTCGATAACGGAGAAGGGGACTGATGATTCCGAAGCGGCGGCAGATGCTGCTGGTCGTAGTTGTAGTATTGATTACTGGCCATGATTACGCGCGTGGCTCGAGGCCAGGAAGCCGGAAATGTGGGTTAGATCCGATGTGTTGCAAAAGTGCTGCAGGACTGGTGCTGCGAAAACAAGCCGAGAAGGATCAAGGAAATGAAGAAGGAAAAAAAGAAATTAGGACGGCTAGAATAGTAATGATTCGATTTTGCGAATGTCAGATGCAGCGCACAAGAATGGCTGAGCTGAGCCTCTTGACTAGTCGTCAGGAATGCTTGCTTCTAATCTGAAACATGAAAACGTCAGTCAACCACCCCAGGAGCTATGATTTGCTGACAGGCAGTTATGGAGCGAATATCGACTGGAGACTAACCGCTAGTGGTGCTGGACGACAGCTGGGGCGTCAATAATGCAGCGAGAGAGAAAAGGGGGAGCGTTCAATAACGCGATTTCCTGACGACGGACGAAAAAGCGAGAGAATGAAAAACAGTATCGAGAAACGAAAGACAGTTGGTAGATGAATCCAGATCGATGTTCCCGCGAACAATAACACCACGGGCAAACCTAAATTCAAGCTGCGATGATCAACAGTAAATGGCGCCCGAAACAAACAGTTACGTAGGCACGCTCGTATTGCAGCGGGTTGAGGTGGGGCTGCGCGGCTTGCTGTTGGCCAGCCACAGCCCGTCTAGCCCACTGTAGCCTAAGGCAATAAGGGTCTGCTGCACTGTGCCAGACTTCTCAGCCGCTTGATGCTCCCACCAGCCTCAGTGTGTTCTAACTTTGGAAACACTCAACGGGTGCGGAGCTGATGACATTACGTAGGCCAGGCACAGCCATTCACGATTATGTCATCTGCCTTGGGCGCGACAGAGGGACGTGAGAATTGTGGGCAAAATATTTGGCCTCCCTCTACTGGCTCAAGGCTTGAATTTGACCCACAGCTGCGGTAAGGTGGCAAGTGGGTGACATTGAAATTGGGACACTCAAACATTAAGCTGCTTATTTTCAAGTGTGCGATCGGTATTATCAGATTATTGAGTGCTAATAATATATACCATAGAGACAATATAGTGGATGTTATTACTTAATTCCATTTCATACGACTGAATTTTTCTATTGACTGTAAAAAGTAGTCTGTTTATAACTAACTCTTCCATTAGGTGTCTCATTTCTCCTGTCACCCACTTGGGTGGCTGGGTTAGCTACGATGAGGCGCGGCTGAGGTTCACAGCCTCAAAAGTAGTCGTAATCACATGCGAAGACAAGCCATCCGATCCAACTTCCTCGTTGTGTAATTCTCCTAATACCAAAATATGTGGCTCCGGGTCAATACCGGGAGCTTTCTTAAAATACCCACACAGTCATCAGATATTCGTCATAAAACGCGGGGCGCCAAAAACCCCCCGTGATATCGATCTAATTTTCTTTGATTATTGCGCTGAATTATTGTGTTCTGACCTGAGGATGCAGATTCACTGCATCAATTCGGTTCCTACATGTAGGTACTACGCAGGGATGGTATGTAGATGTGTTACGGCACTCAATTGTTGTTGAACTGACGAGGCACCATGGTGTTGTCTTGTCACATTATACCGATACAGTCCATTCCATCTTTTCTTCTTCCCGCCCCTCTTTTTAACCAGTTTGTCCTTTTCACAGTATTCCGTAAAATTACACTTGGGCAGTGACCCATTGTCTCAATTGCCAGCATCCACAAGTTATAAACTTGCCCTTGCTGAGGTTTGGAATCGGATATTTGCCACCAGCGGAGGCAGCGAGACCAACGCTTCATGGTATCCATAAAAGGAGCACACTCCATGTACTCTCCGGTACGTTAGAACAAAATAGTATGTAGAGCCGGTAGTTCAACATAGGCTCCAGGTATTTTATAATACAGGTGTTATACAGCCGTATGATCCGGCATGAGTTGACGGACCAGAACAGGGTCCCGCCGTTCGGTCATTCCGTCACTCTTACTTCCTTTCAGAAGCCGGAGCCTCGGTCGATTCGCTATCCGTCTTCTTTGGCTGAGGCTTCCAGGTGCCACTCCAGACGTCGGAAATCTGGTCTATGATGATGCCGTAGAGACCTTTGCCCTCCTCGAGGCTCTTCTGGTGCTCCTCGGCCCGTTTTTGCTGCCAATCAGCGTCTTGGCCACCCATCCAGACATCTTCCACGGCCTTGGCTAGCCCGCTCTTCTGTTGAGCCTCGCTTCCCTCCTGAGTTCCCTTGAGCGCTGCTTCCCGCTGGCGATGCTCTTGTAATAGCTGTCGAGTCTTCTTTGCTTCGGCGGGCAGGCCCACGTCAAACAAGGGACTGATGCGATTTTGAAATCGTCCATAGATTGAAGTACCAGTATACGCATAGGCGAGGTAGTTCGTGGAGAGCGAGAAGGTGCCAACGAGGACGAAGAAGCGGAGGTCAACTTTTCGGGGAGGGAGCAGCATCGCTAGGGGAGCAATGACAGCACCGGCTATCGCACCATTGTGGATAAAGGCGAAGCGCTCAGGGAGCGGCCGGTCGGTAGGTTCGACGGACATTGTATCAGGCGCAGGATGCACACGCAACGTGAAACTGAAGGAGTGTGTACATAATATTCGAGCGGCCTAAATTTGGAAGCCATCATCAAAAAAGTTACAAGCCGTCGTGCTCGGTAGTGCGGATTAACGTTAACCCTAGTCCATAAATAGCTTTGGTGGGGTAGCGACAAATCAGCGGTCGGAGGGTTTTGACATCTGGGACCAATCAAACCTACCGGTTTCCCGAGCTGTCAATCGCCTAGTGAAACAGATATCAAAGACCTGGGCTTCGGGATGTGTCACCAACCACTCGAACATGGACTCAAGCCTAGGCAGGGGATGTTGGCCAGGGGAACCCCAACGAATAATACGTTTATCCAGACTTCGAGATTGATAGCCCCCAGGGTGTGAATGTTGTGTACAGACTGGGACAGCTGGCCGAGGGAACGGCCGCCTTGTGGGATGGGATGGTCCCGCCAGGATGGAACTGTGTCATAGATCAATTCCTGGGAGTCGAAAGGAGAATTAGATCCGAAGTTGATTTGCCTTGTGCAGAAGGTACCTAATTAATTAATCGAGTCCATGTGGGACAACACAAAAAAATCCCCAGGTACCGAAGGCGGGTTCGATCGGCTTCCAAATTGCCATCGAAAGGATCAGAGGTCCTTCTGTACGGCATGTCCGTGTCAGTCCATATGCTACGGGGCGGCTGTAATTGTAGCCGGCGGGATTTGGACCAGGTTCGGACACGAAAGGATTTTGGCTAGCATTCAGCCTTGCACTAATTGTCTGGGCCAGGAGGAGACAGAGCCAGCACCAAAAGGGACGCACTACTTGCGGTAGCAGCTTCCGATCTGTCAACCCAGCCCAGAACAAGATGTCAGCACTCGATGCAAAAACTGGAGAGTAAGCACGCCTGGACGACCCTGTATAAGGCTGTTGGCGACTCCCGGATGCCACATGGTCAGCAGTCAGCAGCCGTTGAAACTGGCCCTTCCGCCCACAACGCTTCAAGGCCCACGGAAATCGCCCCAACTGCCGACCCGGCTAGGAGCTGGCTCTGGCCCTACCAGGGGCACTCTCAATTGGCTAGCTCGGCAAACGATCCTGTCTCGTCTCAGGCGTGTCCACCTGCCAAGCTTCTGATGAATCCTTGGTGTCATGTCGTCCTCGTGGCCTCTTGCCGCCCTAAAACGAACGACCCTGCCAGCCGGTCACTAGGCCCTACTTCCGTGAGGGCGGGCACCCGCCGCCCCAGTCCGCCCAAGTAGGGAGGTAGGCTCGGACGGTGAAGGGTGGGCTGGGCTCGCTGGAGGGATTGCTATTTTGCTGGGGCCACCGCGGCTCCCACGAGGCGCGTGCGGACTGCGGTTGAAGGAAGGATATGGTTGCTGCTAGGCCGCCGGCGGATTACCAAGCACGGCCTCAGCGAGGGAACTCCGCGGCCTGCCTCGCCGAATACCTAGACCTGGACCAAGGCCTGCCTAAGGCCTGGCTAAAAAACAGGCATCCCGAGTGCGAGGGCGCCGTTGATCGAGCAAGGGTGCCACTCCGCTGCCCAGGTTCTTAGCCTTCCTCTGCCTATTCCAATAGTCGGGGTGTGTTAAGGCAATCTGGATACACGGCTAGTGCATGGTGCTTCATCTCGTTACCCAACGCAAACCCGCCGTGCAGCCTGGCCGCCCTCTCCCTATGATCCTGATGATCTGTGGTTGATTTTCCATCCTCAGTAAGGTGTGTCTTCCTTCCATTGAGCGACCGCTAGCCGCCGCCTGCAGAAACACTTCTCCATGTTTCTTGTATCAGAAGGGAATCCTAGCCCTCATTCGGTACCGTCACCGTCAACCTTAACCGACGTACTAATGACACGGCACTCACACAGACCAACTTCATCGCTGGGGACAGTACCTATTGTATCGTGACTCTCAATCGTCCACTTCCCCATATAAGCAGTCTGCAACTTCCCACTTTCTCCCGTTGCTCACAGCCTGCCTTCTTTGTTTATATGCGTGCGCGTCTGACATCCGAACCAGACTCCACCTCTGCCTTACCACACAAAACCATGGCTGCCTCCAGTCAGTTCCCGCTGACTAACCCGCCGTCGGAGGATGATTTGCCCATCAGATCAGCATCGTCAACTCCAACCGGGGGGGAGAGATCAAGTCGGAGAAGTAGGCCAAAGGTGAAGACAGGATGCAGTAGTTGCAAGTGAGACATCCCCGCACATTTATACCCCAACCCCAGGTAAACGATTCACTAACCATAATTCGTCTTACACAGACAGAGAAGGATCAAGTGCGATGAGAAGCGTCCGGCATGTTCCCAATGCATCAAGAGCCGGAGAGAATGCACAGGATACCCCCCTCCCCCTCGACACGCCTTGCCCTTGGAAGGCGTTCGCATAGCTCCCAAACCTGTGGCTATTGCCGCCGAACCAGTTGCTCCAGCCCCAAAGACTGGCCCAATTCAGAAGTATGTTATCTTACCACCTCGTCGTGTTGCTCGACGGACTCAGGCTAGATCGACCCCTGAACACTACGGCACCGTTGAACCGTCTCCTACGCTATATAGACCGGCAAGCGGTTTACCAACCAATGGGTCTGAACCTTACTACTTCGAGATGTTCCGTTCTACTGCCGTAGCTTCGTTTTGCGGATACTTCGACTCGGTCTTCTGGGCTAGGGTTCTTCAAGAATGCCATACGGAACCGGCTGTCTGCCACGCATCAGTTGCCTTGGGTGCCCTCTCCAAGACACTGGAGCAGACATTCAACAATGCTATTCTATCACGACAGAAGGATCCCAGCCAGTCGGAGGCTGTGCTACAACATTGGCAGATGGCTGTCCAGCAGTATTCGAAGGCTTGCAACGCTCTCATGTTTCCTGCCAGTCCCGTACACAACAGAGTCAGACTCATGGCTACCGTTCTCCTTGCCTCCTTCGATGCCTTCATCGGGGATCATAAACAGTCCATTGTGCAAATTCAGAATGGGCTTGGGCTCTTGAAGAAGATGCAAGGGGAACAGAAGGAAGCAAAGGACTTTATTGAACCGGAGCTTGTAGTCATGCTCATGCGACAGGCCATCCAAGCAAAAACCTACGACATGGCCTACCACTTCCCAGAGCCCTATGTCCTCCGTTTTGTTCCCGAAGCCTGCGAAGCTTACTCGTCGTCGTTCTTTAAGATGTTTCCACAACCCGCCGCCAACCCCCAACAACTCAAACCATTCTCGACACTTATCGAGGCACAACTCGCCCACGATCGGATACTGATGCGCGGAATGCAATTTATCGAGAGCCTGCAGCAGGCGAAGAGCGGACCGCTGGAGTTTTTCCCCAAAGAGTGGATGGCTCAGGGCATGGGGATCCAAATGGAGCTTCAAAATTGGATAACCGCCTTCCAGCCCCTTTTCGAGACGCGAGATTTGCCACAAACGAGCGGTTCAGAAAGATCGGCTTTGGCCGTCCTGAAAATGGCACAGCTCAACAGCGAAATCGTGTTCCGGGCATTATTTTGCAGCAGCGAGATCGAGTACGACGCCGTCGTGCCCATGTTCACAACCATCATCAAGCTTGGCCGGGAAATAATCCTCGAGGAGGATGCCCGGGCTGCTGCTGCGGAACTGGCCGCTGACCCCGAGCACTCGCAACAAAGCAACATTGACCCACAGTTAGGGAGGCCTACATCACCCTCAAACTGCCACCTGAGGCCCAGCTTCAGCACCGACCACGGAATTGTTCCTCCCCTATTCGTCGTGGCGACAAAGTGCCGCGACCAAGCTATCCGGCGGCAGGCTATCCAGCTCCTACGAGCCAGCGCGAGGCGCGAGGGGATGTGGGACAGCGAGTTGTCAGCCCGGATAGGTCTGTGGATCATGGAGCTGGAGGAGTACCAGGATCCAAACACATACCAGGGAGGCAACTTTATCCCTGAAGAACGAAGAGTGACACTTCACGGGATCGACCTGGATCTCCGATCGCGAGTTGCAGACTTGAAGATTGGCTCGCGCGGCATGATAGCCGCAACGCAGCAGTTTGACCCTCGGAGGAAATCTACCCGGATCTGTTGGTAAGTACAACATTAATCAAACACCGTGATGGAGCAGCCCCGTTCCTCAAAAAGGACTGGGGCTTGTCCTCGCCCTCCCTGGAGGAGTGGCAACTTGGCATACAGGCGGTTCTCGGAATCGTTTTCCATGTTGGAGAAGAGACACGTGTGAATAACCATCGGACAATTTAATAGGGCCGAGAATGTATATCATTACAATAACGCAACTGCATGTCTTATAGAAGGTTTCTAAAAAAGCAACTTGACGCAAAACGCTTTGTCGGATAATAGGGGGTGTACATATACAAAAATAGTTTTTAAGCAATGCAAAACGCACATGACTATATCTAATTACACGGGTATTGGGTGAAGACTTTTGAATGATTACAACGGAGGAAGCTCTTCGCGGCAGATGGGACACTGTAACCTGAACTTGAGCCACCCTTCCAAACAATCGCTATGGAATATGTGTCGACACGGCGTTACCATGTACATTCGTCTGGCGAACGCACCAGCAACACTGCCGGCCTCCTCGCCCGCCCTGAGGACGGGGACTTCAAGGATTTCCCTACATATGGCGCAGTCGATGCTTCGAGTATTGGATTCGGAGCCGCGGCGCTTGTGGTCGCTGCTGCGTCTGTGTTCGAGGCCGCCGTGGTCGTCCACGAGGCCTATGGGCAGGCCACCAGCTTCAAGGTTATCTTCTCGGAGAACAGGATGATAGTCCCACGCCTCGGGCGTCCAGCTCTTGGGGACTCCGAAGCGAGGTCCGACGACATCCTGCGCGATGAGGATCACGATCTGGAGCCAGAGCCACCCGACGAGGAAGAGGAAGGCACGCGGTTCGGTTCGAGCGTAGAGGAAGTTGTCGGGCTTGACCCAGAAGTAGGCTATGGGGAGGACGCGGAGAACAGACTGACCGGCTACGAACTGCCAGCGGAGGGCGCGGCGGCAGTTGCGCATAACATTGCGGTAGATCTGGGGCATCCATAGGGAGAGGTAGAGCAGGGCACAAATGTTGAGAAAAGCGGACCGGACACCGGGGTACCAGGTCGTCGAGGATATGGCGAGGAAACTAATGCCAAGACTGAGAAGAACGTAGCGCCCGATGATCGCTTGGAAAGTCGAGAACGCCTCTGCCCGGGTTTGTTGGCCTGCCTGCTGGGCAGTGCCTGCCAGGGGGACTGCGGCGGCCGCCTCGGCGATTTCAGCGTCAACGTCTTGATCGAACGGTACAATGATTGGCCCCGAGAAGGCAACCTGGGGACGTCCAGCCGTCACAGGAGCGGGCAGGATTGGACCTGAATCCGAGGTCAGTGGGGCTTGTGGTATAGGGGTTGCGGTTGTGGTGACGGGATTGGACGTTTCCCGACGGTTGCGTCCTTCAGGAAGCTGGACGTCGTAGATCTTTGACAAGAAGCTTCCGCCGATCGTCATTGAGAGGAAGGCGGCAAACATGACTGCAAGGGTTGGCAGGAAGGTAGATGCTGCCGAGGATACCCAGGTGGCGGCCGCAGTAAACGTCATGCCGTCGACGAGGACCATCACACTGACGGTCCCGAAGCTGACCCTGGCCATAGTGGATGGAGTACAGGTCTCTGCTAGCTGGGATTTCAGGAGAATGACCTGAGCAAAAACCACTAAAGCGTAGATGAGGAGCCAAGATTTAACTTGGTGGAGATGTATTTCCTTCTTCAAACCGATCAGATGCTTAAAGTCGGATGCTGGGAAATCTGGCGGTCCTTTAGTTTCCAAGAAAAAACTACAGTCCGGAGAGTAGATAACAGATGATATCTGCAATTCGGGAGCAGTAGGCACTGGGGCGCCCTTGGGGAAGTTGATTTCCGACTCAATTGCTTCAATCATTTGCGCCATGTTCAAGTTGTCCCTGGAATCACCACCCAAATCTTTTGGACTTGGTGGATGAACCTGGGCATATAGAACAAGTTCGCAATGCGGAGAAGGATGTTTTGTATAGAGGGGATTGTCAATATCAGAGCTCCAAGGAGCGGTCTGATCAATAAACGTGTTCTGCTCCTTTTTAGCCAGAGTATGGTCCACACTCCGATTGAGCAGCAACTGGCTGCTCTGAAAGAAGTCAGCACTTGGTGTCAAGTGAGGGAGACCAAATATCCCGTCAAACTTTTCACTCGTAGTTGTCATGAGAATGACACCCTGTCGAGGCCAGTGAGCCCCCCAGAGCCGCATCTCCCAGTTGATCCCAGTCCCGCTGGTATCCTCGAGAGTGACTGTGCCCTTTATGGAGCGTATCTGGCCACCGGAGAGAGGAGCTTGTTCGGCTGGTAACTGGTCATAGTCTGTGACAGTTTTATTGCCTTCGAGCATGAGCACCATCCTCCCCGACTCGCCAGTAATGTTGCGTGCCCAGTCCACCTGGTCATGTATCCAGTCCATGGAGGGAACGCTGTGGCTGAGATTATAGCTATCGTAATTCCGCACAACGGATCCTGGCTTGCGCGTCCACTCCCCGTGTAGGGTTCCCGAGGGATTGGACCAGGCCGGGTAGCCCTCTCCAAGATCCCAAAGCTGCTGAGTTCCCGTGGACATGGCGTAGCGGCTCAGCCGCAGTGCCTTCTCGCGAAAGAGTCCGAGGTCTTCCCAAGCAAAGCCATCCTCCTCTCGGAATCCCGTCAAATTCATATATTTAAGTTCATCGGTCTCGCTGGGTTCCGCGGTTGCTGGTGCGAAGTCGCCCCATTGCGTCTGATTCAACACATCCAGGGCGCCGCGAAAGCCCTTCAATCGATCGCTCGCGAGATCGGACAGGATGAGTGATTGGGCACCGTAATCGGCATCCGGGAGGATCATCCAAACAAAGAGGACAAATATGATGACCCCCAACGACTGCTGCTGAGAATTCGCCATGATGAATGGCTAGCACAGCGCCAACGACGACGCAGTTGTTTGATGCTGCATGCTACAATGTGTTCGGTCTTCCTGGCTGGGTGGCGAACTGCCAGATGAAAAGACCCTGTATCTTTGGTATTATATCGCGCTTTCCATCGAGAATCAATGCGCTTGTCGCTTTGGTAAAATTCGGCACCTGATATCGTCGACCTGGGAAGAAACGGCGTGTCGTCGGATGAGCTTAATGTTGGATTGGAATGGATGGATCCTTAGCCAGAGGCTACCGAGCCTTGATACCAACCGGGCTACGGCGGATATTTACCCCTGTCTTGGGGAGTTGAGCGCTGACACGAGACGTAGCTCAGTGGGGGTTGGCGGGGTCGTTAGCTCCAACAGGCTGGTCCTGCCCCTCTAACAGCAGATCCATAGCACTCCAGCTAAACTGTCAACACCTTGTTGGGTAATCCGACGTTCTTGCTATCACACATAGTAACTGAAACCGGCGGAGAGATCTGATCCTGAACGAAATCTTGCCTCCTCGATTTAATTTCAGATCCGTGTATCACTCTCCAGTTTCAATTCTTCTTCATCCTCTTGTTTGACAACAATGGCGTCCAACGACCCCAATTCGAGCACGAATGAGCAGTCCCAGGTGAGAGTCTAGTTACACTCCGTGCCTAGCCAAGGCTGAAGCCATGACATCGCCTTCAATTGTCAGGTCCTTTGAGGCTGCCAGCCATGCGACTAACCAAGATGCCCCTACATAGACCTCGGACGAAGCCCGTCCTGATGTCGCTGCTGCCGTTGATGAACTTCTCAATTCCCTGTCCAACAAATTCGCCAGCGTTTCCTCAGAGATATTTGCCAAGAGTGAGCTCTATCTTACCCCTTAACTCCTCGTCATACTAATGCACCTTACGAAGTGGACGAAATGTCGAGGAGAATTGACAAGCTCGAGGCAGAGCTAGTAGAGAGCAAAGCGGGTGAAGGCAGCCCCTCGAAACCGCAATAGGATATGGGAAACCCCGGAACTTACACAATTGTGTCGTATTGCATCTGATTACGGAATACAACGTTATCACGGGGTCAAATAGCAGTGCTTCGGGCTTTGTATTGAGATGCAAATAATTTATTTTGTCAATCATTAACTAAACTCTCGCCCAAACGAGGCTCTGAATTTATCCTTTCACCATTATTTGTAGCTCCGACATCTTCTGCGCGGTACTTTACATCCTTCAAAAATCTAGGTATATTTACAGCTCATCCTTCTGCGCAGGCTTGAGCTTCTCAACAAACAAGCGGAGGACATTGGACTTGCGCTTGAGTTCGTCACGCTTGGAAGCAGCAACATCGGTCTTGGCCAGAAGACCCTGGAGTCTGGCAAACTCCTTTTGGGCGTAGTTCTCGCTCTCGTTCAGCTTGTCGAAAACGCGGGTGTAGTACTGGGCGTACTTGACGTCAGCACTCTGCTTGAGCTCCTCGGCCTTTGTCTTGACCTCCTTGGAAATCTCAGCAAGGTTGGTGCCAGTCAGCTTGGAGATGATGTTGTCAAGAGCTTCAATGGTGCCAGCACGGTTGTTAAGAGATCCACCAGCGATTCTGTCGGTGCCGGCCTTCTCGTTGATGAACTGGATGAAGTCCTCCTCGGAACGGCCGCCCTGGTAGATCTGGCCCTCCTTGTCTCCAGCGGGGAAGAACTTGATGGTGGGATAACCAGTGACTCCATGTGCCTTGGCAGTCTTCTTTCCACTCGCGGCGTCGGCATCGACCTTGGCAATAACAACGTTCTCGTCGCCAACGAAATCGGTCGCAAGGGTCTCCCAGGTAGGGGCAAGGTTCTTGCAGTCTGTGATGGGATTATTTAATTACTGTCAAGGTTAAGAGAGTCATTGGAATAGCTTACGTCCACACCAGGGAGCGGTGAAAGCGACGAGTACGTTCTGCTTGCCACCGACGGTCTTGTCAAAGTTGGAGTCGTTCAGAATTTCGACGCTGGTGGGCAGTTCAGCCTTCTTTCTGGGCTTGACGCCGGTCTTTTCTGTAATAAAGTCGCTGAGGCTGTCCAGGTCGCGACCGGAGTTGTAGTCCTCGGGCTTGTCACTCTTTCCGTCGAACCACTTGAGCGTAGGGAAACCCTGGATACCGAACCGCTTGCCGAGACTCTTCTCAGCATCGGCATCGACCTTGGCGATTTGGACCTTGTCCAAGGCATGACCAAAGTTTTGGGCAAGCTCCTCATACGTGGGAGCAAGCTTTTTGCAGTGGCCGCACCAAGGGGCAAAGAATTCGACGAGTGTGGGCTTGCCGGACTTTAAGACGACCTTGTCGAAGTTGGATGGAACAAGGTCAATGACGACCGAGTTAGCTGCGGCGGCGGCAGCTAGGGCGCCGAACAAGAAGGACTTGACCAACATTGTAAGATAATTATCCGATCAATAATTGAAACAATGATGAAGCTAGATGATTGGAAGAAAGATGCTAGAGAGGAAAGGCAGACACGGTGCTGCCGGCCGCGATACTAATATAACAAAATCGTATCGAGGGTTGGTAATCCGTTTTCAAGTAGTAATCCGTTTTCAAGAAGACAGCTTGTACATACTGTCTCCAAAAAGAGCTGCACGCAGGAGATCCCTGGCCCCACAAGGGAGGCACGGCCTGGAAACGGCGGTGGAGGGGCATGAGGGGCTAAGGAAAGCGGTGTGGCTGAGACCCTGTTTCAGATGGGTCCGGAGCCGTGGCTGAAGAGTCGAATCACGTGCAGATAAGCCATGTGTTCCACGTGACTTTCGCGCACACCCAAGTTTGCAGGGCCTGGCTGGGGCTGGCAACCCTCCGATCGGTTGTAGGTACCTCTCACGAAATTCACACAAAATTTCCCGCCCACCTCCACCACCGCGAAATCAATCAACTTCCCGTCCACCTTTCGACACGACACACAACAATCATGTCTCACGAGAGCGTTTGGAACTCGCGCCCGCGCACCTACGGCAAGGGCGCCCGCAGCTGGTACGAAAAATAACCAATTCCCAATGCCACCGAGCAAATCCTGGCCCGTCCTCGACAGCTGTGGGGGGATGTTCTTTTTGCATAGCTAACATGACTATTTTCACAGCCGCGTCTGCAAGCACAAGGCCGGTCTTATCCGCAAGTACGAGCTGAACCTCTGCCGTCAGTGCTTCCGTGAGAAGGCTAAGGACATTGGCTTCAACAAGGTCAGAAACTACATGCGATCGAGTCCGCACACCATGTACTAACCCAGTCTCCAGTACCGATAAACGTGTTTTTAACGAAAGGCGATTCGAGAAGGGGGGGATTGTGATGGATGCACGGTGGGAGTGATGGCTTCGCACAAAAAAAAACTCGGATGGCGACCGTTTGGAACTGGAGTTTAATGGCTTCCTCATTTTGAGATGATCTCGCGTCTGACGAACATCCTCCGGGGATAGACGAATACCATGGAATTGGAACTTTAAACCTACTCTTCCACTTCAATGGCCTCACTGTGATTTGCATCCACACCCACATCAACCCCGGGACATGCCACGATCGATTCAATTTTCCCGCTCAGCCAATGAATAAGAGGTGAAGTGGTAAATTGCATGTGCCAGGGTTGGGCATGCTCAGTCTTCTAGCCGTTGTGTATAAATGGAACCCATCTTGGCAGCTTCACAATGAGCGATTGACATCTCAGACGTGTTCATTATTGTTTGCAACGTTTTTTTTTATTCGTGCTCTCCTTGAGTTCTAAAGTATGTGACAAGAAGCAGAGGGGAGAGGCATTGGTGCTTCAAGCTATATATAAACAAATTGCTAGGTCGAGCGCCTAGCAAATAGGAGACTTGTAATTGTACATGGTTTCAGATATCTTACACAATCTCCCCGGATTTTCTGGACGTCATCAAACATGAAGAACCCTTGACTCGTTTACATCAGTTGGTCTCGTTCCCGTAAATGTTTATTTGATAATACGGGTAATGAGACCAGTGGCAACAGTGCGGCCACCCTCACGGATGTTGAAGCGCTGGCCAGCCTCGATAGCGTTGGGATGGACCATAGTGAGAACCATCTCGACATTGTCACCAGGCATAACAGTCTTGCTGGCAGCATCCTCAGTTCCCTCAGGGAAAGACATGTCAACAGACTCATCAGAGGTTCGGAGGTAAAGTTGAGGGCGGTAGTGCTGCTGGAAACCGCTGTGACGGCCTCCTTCTTCCTTGGTAAGGACGTATAGAGAGGCCAGGAACTGGGTGTGGGCCTTGACACTGCCAGGCTTGGCAACAACCATACCACGGCGGACGTCCTCACGGCGGACACCACGAATGAGCAGACCGGAGTTGTCGCCGGCCTGAGACTGGTCGCAAGACTTCTTGAAAGTCTCAATATCGGTAACCTTAGTCTTGATGAGCTCACCACCCTTGCCGACAATCTCAATTTCCTCATCGCGCTTCAGAACACCTCGCTCCACACGTCCGGAGACGACGGTACCACGTCCAGCAATGGAGAAGACTTCCTCAACAGCCATGAGGAAGGGCTTCTCCATGTCACGCTCGGGGGTGGGAATCCACTCATCAACAGCCTTGAGAAGCTCGTCGATCTTCTGGGAACCAATTTCGGGCTTCTGGTTCTGCATGGCCATCAAGGCAGATCCCATGATGACGGGGGTGTTGTCACCATCATAGCCGTAGGTAGTGAGGAGCTCACGCATCTCCATCTCGACCAGCTCCAACATCTCAGGGTCATCGACAGCATCGACCTTGTTGACGAAAACGACAATCCTCTGGACACCGACCTGGCGAGCGAGCAGCAAGTGCTCACGGGTCTGGGGCATCTGACCATCAGAAGCAGCAACGACGATAATAGCACCATCCATGTTGGCAGCACCAGTAATCATGTTCTTGATGTAATCGGCGTGACCAGGGCAGTCAACGTGGGAGTAGTGGCGGGCGTCGGTGGCGTACTCGATGTGGGCAGTTGAGATGGTAATACCACGAGCACGCTCCTCGGGAGCCTTGTCAATGGCACCATACTCGAGATAGTTGGCCAGACCCTTCTCAGCCTGGCGCTTGGTGATGGCGGCAGACAAGGTCGTCTAGAGGCGGAAGTGGGAGAGTTAGCCCACACGTTCCCAAGTTCGAACCGGCAGCAATGGTTTCCAAATCCTTACCTTTCCGTGATCGACGTGACCAATGGTACCAATGTTGACATGGGGCTTCGTTCGCTCGAAGACGGCATATGTGCGGTAGACGTTCATAAATCCAGCAGCATTCTGTCTCTTCAGCGCAGACTGGAGAGGGCTCACATTGCCGTTCTTGAGGCCGTGGCGAGCAGTGCGCAGAAAAGGCGCAATTGATCTGAACGCTGCCGACATTTTGACAGGTGTTCGAATTAGAATGAATTAAGGGTATCTAGAAAGCAAGCAACGAGGGAGGAACGGAGATTGGCGTCCCAGAAGAGAAGGGTCGTTGGTGATGGTGGGTGTTGGAGATGGTCTTGTAAGGCAAGCCAACCAAAATTTTACGGCGAGTCTGGTACGTACCAGCCCTGAGGTCTCAATGCCAATGACAGGGGCTGTAGCTGGTTGTTTCAATGGCATTACTGGAGCCGTCATAGGTCAGCAAGGACAGCTCTGCCGTCACGTGATGCTGTCCATGGTTCTGATGAACATTCCTACGTCCACGCCACGATGCGAAGCCATGGAGGCGATAATTAATTCAGTTGCTAAAATGTCTTGTGTAGGGGTCTAGCCTTCTTATCTTTTGATCCAAGAACAATGGCTGTATGCTTTCGTTCATGGGCACTACTGCCGGCATGATGTTTCGCTGCTAACATTGAATAAATGAAATACTTCAAGCGCCCAATGAAACCAGACCGGTAGCCGTGAGTAGTGGACAGGTATTCAGCGCTAACACTTGCGCGGCGCTCATACCTTCCAGAACAACGCGATTACATTGAATCAAAGTCCACTTTCGGGGGGGCCGGGCAATCAGAGCTGGCGCGAAAAAAAAACTTTAAGGGCATCAACATCTGGTCTCTATGACCCGGAAACGATCCCCCAAAATATCTCTCATTTCCCTCCTGCAATACTCCAATCTCATATTGCCCATTCAATTCCCTCATCATCTCAGAAGTCACACAGCTACTTGATCAAATTCCCTCAATTGCTGCATCTGCCCTGTATTCGTCGCAGAGCCGCTAGCAAGTGCTTCTGAACCAACAACGGCGCAAACGCAAAGTCATCCCATCTTCATCTCACAAACCACACAACTTGTGCATCATGGATTCCCAATCGGAAACTCAGCAGTCTGAGCAGGATAAGCTCAATGACTTCGGCCGCTTGACCTTGCAGATGGCCAAGTATGGACAGAATATGTCAAACAATTTGCACTCAACATTTGCGAATATGACTATTCATGGCTGGATCCGGCTCATTGTGATTGTGGGCGGCTACATGCTTCTCCGCCCCTATGCCCTCAAATACCTGGGCCAGAGACAGTTCGAAAGCATGGAGGAGCAAGAACGCAAGGACAGGGAAGAGGAGGAGAAGAGGGGAGCCAAGATCTCACCAAATCAGCTGCGTGGACAGAACGGGGCTGTCGACCTGGACGAAGATGAGGATGAATTTTTTGAGGAGGACGAGGGCAAGTCTTCCGCAACCAGATGGGGGCAAAAGGCCAGAATCAGGCAAAGAACCATGATCAAGGATCTGCTGGAAAGAGAGGAGAGGAGGAGACTAGAGGAGGAGGATGACAAGGACATTGAAGATTTGCTCGAAGACTAGAGCAAACCGCTGCATCGGCCTGAGCCTTTCTTAAACTTGCCCATCGACCAGTCCTTCGACCAAACGAGCCTATCTGCAGCATACCTAACTCCACTAGAAATTAATGCAACTTGATGTGCAACATCCGGAAAGATGAGCCGGGAGACAGTTACATTGACACAGGCAGTGATGATCCTTCTCTCCACACCGAGACCACCTGAGATAGCTGGCTCAGGAGCGTTCCATCGCAGTAGTGATCGGACCATGAAGATGCACATGGCCAAATAAAATCAATAAACGCACCCAACATGCAGAAGATACATGCCTCAATCCAATGATAGAGCGAACCACCCTCAACGACTTCCTACTCTCCGCCGGTTTACAAGCACGTGCTGAACCTCAGCTTGGGGGGATTTGGACACGACAGATGTTCCACGCAATCTGTTCAGCGCCATGCCGCCATCTGTCTAAGTGTGCATGTCTGCATGATGGTGGGGTCGCAGGCCTGTTTCTATGATAAATCACACAGCAACCGAGGGGGCCAACAGCAAGCACATCAGTCAATGACAGAAGAAATTAGCCATCGAGCAGTCATGAACAGAACAATTTCTGCAATAATCAGATATAAAATGTCAATTGTCCCTTGAATACTCATTATTGGTTCTCAATAACATGATAACGCCAGCCCAGACTCGGGTGCCAGCAGGATGCTTCTAATGTTGAAGTGTAAGTACCAATTCCAATGCCACTCAGTTGGCTGTGCAGTGCCTCGACTGTGCATATGTATCGAGAGCAAGATTTTAAGCCCAAGTCGACATGACGGTGGTGGCAACAGCAGCAATCTAGGCACCCAGGCAGACAACCAGGCTGCTTGGACGGCCTTGTCTTGCCTATTCGGGCTATGTGGTTGCGTAGCCCGCGTTGCTTGCACAGCTCCCTACCTAGACACCAAGACTTTTGCTTATATCATGTGAAGAGCAAGAGCCCCATTTTCGCCAAGGTTCCCTCAGCTTCTCAGAAGGCACTAGAGAGGAGGCGGCAAGTCGTCGCACACGGAAGAAAGAAAGGCTAGCCATGTCGTGGCACTGCTACCGTATACAACTATCTATGTAGGTGCCTTATAAAACAATTGAAGTACCCAATGAACAACAGCCGGCCAAGGCACTGCCCAGCTGCAAAGGGGGAGGGTTCCATTGCGTTAATCCGCGGCAGTGTTTGAGTGTCTCCATGTAGGTCCCTGTAGAAGAAACAGTCGCTAGGTAGGACGTTGGGTGGGCGGGGAACTTGCAGCGTATCGAAGTCGGGCGTCAACCAAGGAACGATGTCATCCTTCTCGGAGATCCACCATCATGCCCACCCAGCTCCAACGCCTGTTTTAAGGTCGCCGCGCCAATCCCAGGCCCTCTCCCCTCTGCAGCCTCCAGTACAATTTGCTTTTGGGCGTCATCTCGTCAAAACCATTCGGCTGCGCATTGCTCTTCGTGCCTGCTGCTCTTTTTTCCTTTGTTGCTACTCTGTTTCCTGCACAAATCGCCCGGTACCTTGCCAGCCTTACCACGGCAGGGATTGCCGCCCATTGCCTTCTCCCACCACCTGCGAATAATTAGGCTGCGTCATTCCCACCCGCGCACACTCTGGGTCAACCTCGAGGAAAGCCCTTTCACCACAACCACCAAATATCCGGCCACCTCCGCCTCTGCGCGGCACTCTGGTTGCCTCGAAGATCCATTTCTTCGTTCAGACTCGCCAATCTGGACTTTGGTCCTTCGTATCATGGTTTACCTGACTTCGAACCCAACTGAAGAAGGTGCATGATGAACGAACACCACGACATTGGGTCTATGATGCAGGCGGGCTACTTCGTATCGTCACGATCCAAGAATAACCAGTCGTAAGGATTCCATTCCCCAACTTCGGCTACTCAAATACAATGAAACTCTAACCCACACACTAGTCCATCTCTATCGTTGACCCCTCCATCATCACCAAGGCCGTCACGATCCCCCCAGCGCGACTACCGGCGTACAGAGCTACCAGCGTATAGAGCGTCAAAGATCCGACCGCCACCACCTTCCGTCGAGGATGAGGTAGATTCATTAGCTCGCGAATATGGCTCTGTGAGTCTCTCCTCGAATCCTGAGGAAGAACCAGCATCTCGAGGCGATGTGGAACAATACCCCCTAATACTCGAAGTCCACGAGCACAACCCGGAACGGCGTTTCGTCATCGTTCCCAACTCTAGCTCCCTATCTGATTCTAAGAAGTCGGAGGGCGACGGTTCAGACCACGAGCGACAAGGAAAAGATAGCTCGGGCGAATGGTCTTGTGATGAGGCAAGCTCCACACATAAACATGGCCCTGAACGCAGCGAAAGGCGTCGAGAGAAAAATGAAAGTATCGACACCGGAAGGCGACCTAGATCGAGACCCCGCGTGCCAGATTCAGAACCCCGGCAAAGACGGGATCCCGAAGCCATTCGAACATCTCCTACCGCCAGGCAGGAGAGATTTGATCCCCGCGATCGCCAAGAGAATCCACCTCCAGTGGACAGCACCAGGAATGGTCAAAGAGGACGAGACTTTGCCGATTTTGGCCTTGGAATCTCGACATCCAGTCCCAACAAGCCAAGGCCTAGACGAAATTCAAGTGTAATAGATGATCGCCACCGTGAAAGACGAGGGCGAAGAGACAGCATCAGCCCTTCAAGAGGCAGCCGTCCTATCTTGCATATTGACCCAAGAAGCTCAGACAGCCGGCTGTCAAATGAACCCGATGGCCCTCGTTATAGAGGCGAGCCTCAATCAGCCCGGTTCCCGCCATCTGCTTACAAACGAAGCGACATGGAGTCGAGGTCTGCGGATCCCCCCAGGCGGAGGGATGACAGCAGCCGGGTCGAAGGAGAACCCAGACCTAAGGAAAGCACAGGGCGTGGAGACAACAATCGCTCTTGCGACGAGCCTGGAGTTCCAACATCGCGGCGCCATCGAAGGGATTCCTCCTTAGTACCACCTCAGGACATAGAATCGACGCTTGGTCCCGAACAGCCACTCAGGGACTGGGATCGATCTCGCTCTCGCGGACCTCCGGTACCTCCGCATATTGTTCCAATCTCTCCAGAGATCCTTACGAATTTCGCCCCCAAGCCTTCATCTACATTCCCCATCACAAAAGAGGAGCGGGCCCTTCCATACCCAGATGATGACGATATGATGATGGCTCCCCAGATCCCTCAAAGCGCTGTAGAGCCAAGAGCGCATGCCATTCCACCCATTTCTATGCCAGATTTTCCACCTGTGGTGTCAATGCCTGAAGAAGCAAGTTTCGAAAAGCCAAGTCTCGATAAGCCAAAAGCAGTTTCACCAGCAAATCCGTCTGCATCGTGGCAGGTACCTTCGTTTGATCCTGAACGAGACCGACATCCAGCCGAATCAGATATGGGATCGTACAGGCGCTATTCTGAAGGTCGGACGGGTGATAAGGTTCCATCGCTCCTCCCAGAATGTCCCCGCAAGAAACCTAAAGCAGGGAAAACGGATTGGCTTACTTTGCCTCGTTCCAACTTCAACTGCTGTCCGAGCTGTTACGAAGGTGTCTTTGCCAATACTGAGTGTCGAACGCTTTTCCAGCCAATGCTTCGCCCCACGGATACAGCGATTGCTTGTGACTTTGGCTCAAGCCCATGGTATAGGATCGCCTGGCTTCTCACACTGAAATATGGCTGGCCAGACTTGCAACTTTTCCACGAGATTGACGACGTGATAGTCTCTCGCAGTCAAGCCTGCCCCGGAGATCGAAAAGCTTTACGAAACTGGCTCACAATCAGAGACCCAAAGAAGAGGCGACTACTGTCGAACTTCACAGTCTGCTACCAATGTGCCAAGACTGTAGAAGTACTTCTTCCGAATCTCAGTAATGTCTTCGTACCGGTGGATTCGCGGTCAGAGCCTTCCTATGGAGTTTGTGCTCTCCGTTACACGCCTCGGCGGAAACGATTCGCACATTACTTCGATACCTTCGAGACAACGTCGGATAAGGCACTCAAAGCTAAAACAACTCCGGATCTCTCATCGCTTGCATCAAAGATTGAGCGACTATCCATGGTAGAAGAGTGTCGAGAGGACAGCCCAGTCCCCAATTCGTATTGGCATTTTATGCAATTCTTACCACAGTTCACAGTCTGTTCGGAGTGTTTTGATGAGGTAGTCCGACCACAACTCAGCGATGACAATATAATTGCCAGGAATTTCTATCGAGAGCCAGAAAAACTCGAGGTGGCTACATGTCAACTATACTCGGAAAGGATGAGAGAGGTTTTCCGGAAAGCCTGTCGACGAAATGATCCCAAATATCTAGAGGCGAAAGTGCTTGAGAGACAGGAGGTGGAAGCGGATATTCACGGCCAGCTCATGGAACTAGATCGGTCAGGCCACTATGATGACTATGTACAGGAAAAGGTAGACCGGTTGATTCGGGAATGGAGCAAGTGGGAATAGGTTTCAAAAGAATTGGCTTACCATGTATCGTTATACCCCATCATTTGCTTTCATGTCCCTAGATCGGTCGTTTTTCAGCACAGGAATAAGATAATATTCATCTTTCTACCAGCATAATGTCTAAGACGCTACGAATGCTCCAAGCGACCCCCACACCCCTTTAATCAATAAGTGGGGGTTAGCTCAAGCTGCCACCCACGTCATAACTAACCACTTTTTGGCATTGTAGGATAACTTCGACTTTCATCCCTACAAACCATTGGGAAACCTCGAAAGTTGGGGACACTCAACCATCTGACCCCTTCGTCAAATACATGACCTTTACACGGTTCAAATAGATTCTTTGATATCTCCGTATCTTTCTCCTTTTTGAGAGGATTGAGGATAATAGTGAACGAATGACAGACATATCAAGTTCCTGAGTGGTCTGACCACATACAAACCACCTCAACATCCCTCTTCACCGGCAGCGAGCTTCAAGACGCTACTCGAAATAAGAACAACGGGACCAGTACAAAGAATCGTCGTAAAAACAATTGCTTATACCAGCAATTCTCTCGTGACAACAGCCAAATAGGCGGCGTGGATATCCGCGACCATCTCAGGGATGTTATCGGCTATAATCATCGCATCCGTCGAGGCACTTAGCAGGCCGTGGCCTGGAGCTTCCTCCTTGAGACGGTGCTTATTAACACACATATTTTACAGCGTAATTCGATATTTCCTTATGGGCGGAACCGCGACCAAATAAATTAGCGGCGTATGCTTGCGAACAGCTTGATCCGTAAGTATACCCCAGCGGCAGCTTCACGTAAGAGATTCAAGCCTGGCGGTGATTTCTCGCCAATATCGCAGCATAATCATGTCCAGCTTGAGAAAAAAAGGTCGGTGCCGGGCTTGTAGGTGTGATAAACTAGGGGATGTTATTACGGGAAGCTCAAAAAGGCCGCCTTTGCAAAAATCGGCTAGGCAGAGCAAATACGGCTGTAGCGTGTGTAACATGAATATATGTCCTGGTTCAAATTGCTGGTACATAGGTATGGGACCAGCCAATTGCTCATAGAAGTTGATGTGTCTTTCATCATTGTTTCGGAGGAGTTTGAGGAGCATTTATAACGTCTATGGGATCTGGTTTAAATTAAACCTGCTAACTACTCTGTGCCCAGTCTAGTCTATAGCAATGATATTATTGGTTGTGAAAGATCTTGATCTCGAGGTCAAAACTACCTATCATCGACACTTGGTTCGCCAGAAAGAGTACTCATTTTAAACATCCAGACTACTATGACATTGAAATCGATAAGACAAGAGTCTAATCCTCTTCGTTTCTGGAGCTGTGACAAGTAACCTTGATTCATTAGGTAGGGGCTAAAACTAAGAAAAAAGCAGGTGATACCTTTCATATTCCATTAATTCTTTTTTTTCTTATCATTATTTTATTCCAGCCATTGCAGAGTCTCTGCTCATGACTCTTACCAATTTGGTGTCACTTTTCTTCTGCCAGTCAAGGATAGAAGATATCGCTACTCTCTGACTGAAGGGTACCCCTGTCGTAACTGTGGGTTGGGTGATTGAGGGGCAGTCACGTGAACTAACCCACAAAGTGCCATTCCTGGCACGTACCGCCAAGGTTAGGGTCGGTCTCCGCCCACCAAAAAGATTGCGTGCAAAAATTCCCTGGTGAAATTTATCGTGCGCCCCGTTGCCAAAATTCATCCTCACTCAACAACCAACTTCGACGCCGCCCAACGACCGAGGTAGGACTTCATGCCATTGCGTCTCAACTTCGATAACTCGAGCAAGACATACTAACAGAGTATTTCCTTCCAGGTCCAAGTCCCACATTCACAATGGCTTCGCGACCTACCGTCTCGATCATCGGCAAAGATGGTACTCCCACGGGAGCTACCCACCCCATTCCTGCTGTCTTCTCCAGCCCTATCCGACCGGATATCGTCCAGCAGGTTCACACTGGTATCGCCAAGAACAAGCGCCAGCCATACTCCGTGAGCGAGAAGGCCGGTCACCAGACCTCTGCTGAGTCCTGGGGAACTGGTTAGTGCTTCTTTTTTCTTTCATCGACGGGGGAGGGTTCGTGGTGTGGGTTTTTTTGTGGTTGATTAGCACCAGCAATGGTGTCTAGTCAATTCAGATGAAACCACCTGGGCTTGATTTGCTTGGAAACGGCGACTTTTATATCATGAACAACGTCTAACAGCCTCACTTATAGGACGTGCTGTTGCCCGTATTCCCCGTGTCTCCGGTGGTGGTACCCACCGTGCTGGTCAGGCCGCCTTCGGTAACATGTGCCGTTCCGGTCGCATGTTCGCCCCTACCAAGATCTGGCGCAAGTGGCACGTCAAGGTCAACCAGGGCCAGAAGTGAGTGGAAAACCCAAGAGCCATTGGATCGAGTGGGGAAATTTTTGAAGAAGGAAGAAAAACTGACTGATTTACGTATAAAGGCGTTACGCTACCGTCTCTGCCCTGGCTGCCTCCGCTGCCGCTCCTCTTCTGCTCGCCCGCGGTCACCAGATCATGAGCATCCCCGAGGTCCCCCTCGTCGTCGACTCTGCCGTCTTCGAGGCCGGTGCTGGTGCCAAGACCGCCAGCTCCCTGGCTGTCCTCAAGGCCGTCGGTGCTGGACTTGACCTGGACAAGGTCAAGGCCTCCAAGAAGCTCCGCGCCGGTAAGGGTAAGCTCCGTGGCCGCCGCCACCGCCAGCGCCGCGGTCCTCTTGTCGTCTACGACGCTGCTGTCGACGGCAAGGAGCTCATCAAGGGCTTCCGCAACATCCCCGGTGTTGAGACCAGCCCCGTCTCCGCCCTCAACCTCCTCCAGCTTGCCCCCGGTGGTCACCTCGGCCGCTTCGTCATCTGGACCTCCGCCGCCTTCAAGGCTCTGGACGAGATCTACGGCTCCACCACCGAGCCCTCTGCTCACAAGCGCGACTTCCTCCTCCCCTCCAACGTCGTCTCCCAGGCCGATCTCACCCGTCTCATCAACAGCTCTGAAATCCAGAGCTCCCTTAACGCTCCCAAGGGTGAGGCTGTCACTCGCCGCGCTGCTGTCCAGAAGAAGAACCCTCTGCGCAACAAGCAGGTTATGCTGCGCCTGAACCCCTACGCTTCTGTCTTCGCCAAGGACTCTCAGAAGAAGCAGGAGTAAAAAAAAATTAACTTACTGGCTGGGTGTGCAGAAGTAGGTTTCGGTGGCACTCTTCGAAGTGTTGGGACGGATTTGTTTGGTTTGGTATTGAGGCGCAATGGCTTCTGGAGGATTTAAAACTCATCAATGAATCAGAAGATTTCAATCATAACCGATTTGTCCAATGAAATCCACGGTGCATTCCATGACACAATATTCGTAGCAAACATAGAATGCTGTGTTGACTAATCTACTCTATGGCACCCAAGTAATGGTCCCACCCAGTATATGATATCCATGTGAAACAAACAAGTGATGTCGTTCCTTCGTAAAAAGACCTAGCACCCAGCCATAAGACCGAGGTTGCCCATGCCTTGCTCAAGCTGCTCTACACCCTCGCTGTCCAGCTTCGAAACCAGCTTCTTGATCTCCGCCACGCTCTTGATTCTCCAAAATTTCTGGATACCCGTTGCGTATCTCGTTGCACATGGCCCAACAAGGTCCTCGTCCTCGGCCGCAAAACATAAGCGGGAATACTTCCAGCTTCTCTCCCGTTGAATCTCGGCAGTAGCGCCGAACATAGCACCAGGGGCGGCAAGGACGAGATATGGCTTCTGAGATAAAAATACCATGAGAGCCTTGGCCAGCAATGGGCCATCGACCAACACTCCGGCATCTCCTCCGATCGCTTCTCCACGTGCCTGCCACAGCGGATGGTTCTCGAAATGGATACGAACCCAGATAAACATACCACCTTTTGGCCAATTAAAGGATAACAAGCGAGTCTTGGTGATCACACCCCATTCGGTATCAGAATCACGAACTGGGGTGGATTGCTTGAGCTCGTAGGAGTGCTCATCAAGGATAGTGGACATCTCGGCCATGCGGCCCTCATAAACACCGCGGAGACCCGCGAGCCATCGGACCCAACCATCCATACTCCAGCCCTCGAACGAGGCCTTGTCTTTAGAAGAGAGTCCGTGGAAGCGTCTAGTTGTGGCTTCAGGCTGCTGGCCCATGATGGCTTCAGCTACCAGCGACTGAACAAAGCCAGAGGGTTGCTGTGTGCTTGTTTCTGTGATTCTGCAGTTTGTTAGAAAGCCAGGTGTCGTCACGGGGGGGTTAATGGGACAGGGGTCTACATACCGAAGGAGACGCTCAATAAAGGCAGGTTGGGCAGTGACCCAACCAAGACGGCAGCCTGGAGCGATCGTCTTGGAAAATGTGTCGATACGAATAACACGGCCCTCAGTATCCAGATTGAGGGAGGAAGGGACCAGCGAGTCCAAGAAATCGTATCCGGTAGACTTTGATAGGCCGTGAGCTTTCTCTTGCGACGGTGCCCGGCCGTCTCTATCTACGCGATATTGGAGATTCCAATATGGCTCGTCCTCGATGAGAATAATATCATACTTGCAGCATAGAGCGTAAATAGCCTTTCGTCTTTCGATTGACTGGAGTCCACCGGTTGGGTTGTGGCCCGTTCTATGATGGGACGGTTAGTATGGACTCGGCAGCATCCGCACGAGGGAAGTAAGACTCACGTTACAGAGTAGATGAAATGAGGCACTCGGCCTTTGCTGTAATCCCAGTTCTCAAGAACATCCTTCAGACCCCCTGGGCCGTCAACACTCATGCCTTCGGAATCTACCTCCACGGGGACGACCTGCACTCCCCTGGGTAGCGCCGTATTGGGGGCATTCATGTACACGTATGTTTCACACAACATGCCTGGGCGATCCTCCACGGGGTCCCGGCCAGCAACCCAGGGCTCGACGATCAACTCCACGGCCTTGGAGAAACCATCGGTGGCGCCAGTGGTGAGAATGACCTCCGGCCCGTTGAGATAGGGCACATTTGGATGGAGGTGGTTACGTACGAACTGGCGAACAAATGAGAGCAACGACGGGTAGCCATCTGCAGTGCCATACTGCAGTGCTGTCGCCAGGTCGATTTTCTTTGAAGGGTCGACCTGATCATCCTTGGCGGGGATTACGAGATGGGATGCGGCATGCTTTGGTGCCACGGCCGGGCCATTCTTGTTCACTTCGCGAGGCCATCTATCAGGCAGCGCTACCTGAGCCTCGAGAGTGTCATAGGGAAAGAGCCCGGGGTTAGGCAAGCCTGCAGTGTATTGGGTCAGAGGAAATCAATTCAATGTGTGTGAGAAAATTGAAGTAAGTACCTCCAGCAAGATTTCCAATACCAGGGACCTGGAAGAATTTGTAGAGTTGCTTGACAGCGCTGGCGCCTCGGTTCTTGGTTGACTGGGAAAAGTGGTGGCTGAGGTCGCGTGGAAGAGGCGGATCAGCAGCAGACTGAGACATTGCCGGTGGCGGCGCCATATCGATTGGCAGGCACAGCGCAGTGCAGCGGCCCTAAACTGTTATTGGTGGCGGCGGCTCTGGGATTCTAACGGTCTTGCATAAACAAGGTAAGGTACACGCTGCGGCTTGGACGGGGGACCATTCAACAACGGATTCACAAGATTGCTGGAGAGAATCACAAGAGGCCGGCCACTAGACAAGCAATAATATTATCTCTATGGAGAGGGATAGGCAGTCGGAGATCTGGCGTGGGAGGGCAGATAGGGACCCCGAGCCGGTCGAGGCGGGCCAGGGTCCAGATGTGCAACGGTCCCTGCCAATGCCGTTTCGCCAACTGCGAGTCTGTTCCTGACAAATCCAAATCGGAGCCTCCCAAATAAGGGCAAATGCGGTGAGGGGCTATCTACTCATTCTGGTGCAGATGGCGTAATGACTTCGGACTTGCGGACTTGGAGCCATCCGCGCCCTACGACCAAGTGGACCAGCTCCCCAGATCGCCAAGGCGTTGGATCTATTACTAACCCACCCTAGACCATCCTGTGTTCCATGTTGATGGTTGCTTCCGCTACAAACTAGCGAAAACCTGCCAGCATAACGAGAAAATAAAATTATCTGGGGTAGTGGCATGGATTCCCTGTCACAATTTGAAGCTGGTATTTCTATCTGCCTTGCCTACTAGCAATGTGATGTCCTGCTTCTAATAAATGGTGGCCCTCCAGTGTAAGTGATACAACAAAATCATTAGCATTGTTCCAGTTCATCAGCTGCCATCCACATGTGCATGTTTTCGTCAAATAAGCATAGCAAACAGTAACGGAAACCATGCCCGTTTCAGTCGTGACGAAGAATTACTGTTGTGTAGAACTCCGTTCTCAATCTACAAGGGAGAATCAGCAAAGGACCTCCATGTCAAGCGTTTCAACCCCCACAAAGTCTGTGTTTAGTTACCTAGCTAGGTAGTTTTCTATACGGCAGAAAGATTTTTTAAAATAATACATCCCACTTGCTGGTTGCGGATCCGCGGGTTGTTTTCAACTGATGCCTGGACCCAAATCGAGAATTTGGGCTACCTGCTATGGTAGAAGCTTGGAACGCACCATAATTCCCAAGCCCAAATCACAAGTATAGGTCTTCTTCTAATTATACATACTTGGTAATACCAGGTAGGTAGGCAAAGCAAACCTGGACGCCTAACGCATTCGACCTGAGAAGAAAGGAAAAAAGTGAGAAGAAGGCTTCATGCTCAGCGCTATCCCCCCTCGGAACCAGTCTGAGGAAACTTCCGACACATGTTTTCACAACAGCCTCGCCGATACAGACCTCAAATAAGACCATGCCGCTGGATTGCTCTAAGCCATGCCGCTGGATTGGCTTTCGAAGTTTCGAAGAATACTATGCCGCTGGATTGCTTTGAGCCATGCCGCTTGATTGCTCTGAGCTATGCCGCTTGATTGGCTTAGGGCATGCCGCTGGATTAGTGGTCAGATGGGCCTATTGTTGGAGATGTTGAATGAGTCCTCGATCAGGGCTTAGTTTGTGAGTTCACTTGTGTCTCCCCTCCTTCCGCTTGTTCCCCCTCTCCTTCTCTTCCGTTCCTCTCCCCAGCTTCTAGGGTTTTTTTTCCCCCTTAGAAACCTAGCGGTCCCTTTGTTTGTTCTCGCTGTTAGATTACCTACAATTAGTTGAAGGAGGAACCTACGATTTTTGCTTATTCAGCCCAGAGAATGGCTATTTACCTTAGTAGCCAAAACAATAGCCTTGCCCTGCGATATAACAATGGTTAGCTTGATGTGAGATAGTGCCTATAGATACAGGGGCTGGATGGAGCGTAATGTGATCGGCGGCTGAAGGGCCATTTAAACTCTTTCACCGGTCATAGCTGTCTTCCACACCGAGGTCCACCGAAGGTGTGAAGCTAGCAGCCGACAGCTAAACTCCACTTTCCCTTGTGCTTCCCACCAACAACATGAACTGCTTGCCTAAAGTGCCGGAATTATTCGAGCACTTCGACGCGTAAATCACAAGATGCGACATTCAGCTCTTGAAATACACCGCGCTTGAGGCATCTTACTTTTCTTCTGCGGATCGCGCTCCATCGTAAACTATCGAGCAAGGGTTCTGGTGAGGTCACGACCTATGATAGCTATCCGTTGATAGTACGCGACGGTCCGTCAACATGGAGAACGGCGGCCTCGAGCCCGATCTTTCGGAGGCGATCACGCCTACACCCATCGCACAACTACAGCCAGGTCTTTCAGATATCGCATCACACATTGTTGATGGTGAGGTGACCATCACATGGCCATTCAGCATCGTCACCAAATCCATTGCGTTCAAGCTCGCCGAACACGATTTCCTGCTGCGACGCAATAAAGGCCAGGTACGAGTGGAATTCCATGGCGCTGCTGGGAAGGCAGTCGCCGCGACTGGAATTGGAGGTGGTGATAAGGTTCGGCTCAGTTTGACTGGGGTTGAATGGACTGAGGGAGCTCCTGCATCTACGCGACTAGACACGCTTCAATGGCAGATGAACTTCTCGAATAGGCTGCGCATGCGGGTTCGCAGGGCAGACAGCCAGGAAGAAGAAATAATTAGCGTCGATTCCTCTGAGAGCATCGATAACGATCCGCCATTGACTGAACTCACAGCGCCTTCAGTTTCTGAGCCCGAACACTCGATCCCAATTCCAACCGACACGCCCCCCAAGCCGGCGATTTATCCACGAGACGGGCTTGGAGCGCCCTTGACCGGAAAGCGTCAAGTTTCGGAAGCTTTCGACGCAGACGAATATGCATCTCCTGCTTTCTTGAAACGTGCCAGGATCTCATATGGATCACTGTTTGAGGGTGGTTTCGATATATTTAACGAGCACGATGATGATGTACCGAGCAAGAAAAAGGATCACAAGCGGCCGCGCTTCAGCATGAATGCCAATTGGAAATATACAAGTCGTACCCCCAGCCCCGAGCCTGAACAGTCGCCCGAGGTCGAGCCCGAACCACTGGCGGGAAACAATGATGCCCCAGATATTCTTATGGAAACGCCGTCGCGGCTCCCAGTGGCGGGCAAAGAAAAACAAGATAGGAGTATCGAAGCTTCAGCCTCGCCTGTTCCGTCAAAAGCTACTGAAACAAGAGTTCCATCATCTCAAAGAGCTTCGACACCCAGTTCACCCTGCATACAAAGAACGGCACCCGAGGAGGAGCCACAAGATGACACTGAGAAAACCTTGAAATCCTCCGGGGACACAGAGTCTTCCCTTCAGTTGGCAGAAGTGGATGCTCAAAGCGAGCCCGAAAAGACCAGCCTAGAACCAGACAGTCTCCCCCGTAACGATCCGTCAAAGCCACAGGATATTATGGATCAATTTCTGCATGATGCAATTGACCCAGCTCTCACTGACGAAGCAAGAGAAGCCGCCGATCTAGTCATGGAAAATGATGCTGGAAGGTTTTTAGAAGATCATGAACTTCAATTTGCCCCTATGCCTACATATGCAGAGAGCCAGCCACCAATGGCTAGTTTTTCTCATCTACCCAATGGGGAACCGCATGGAAATCATTCATTTTCGACCTTCCCAACACAATCGAATGACTGGCTGCCTATGTCTTCAGCGCCTGTGTATCCGCCGATACCAGCCCCGAATAGCTTGAACAACCCTGTGGAAATCATTGACAGCTCCTCTTCGGATGGAGAACAATCTTCGGATGAAGGGGATGCCGAACGCGAGGATGGCGGGGATCAGTTGCGAGGGAGCTCTTTGAAGAGCGAGGATGAAGATTCAGATCACAGCCACATGGAAGACAGTGAGCAAGAAGCCCTACAGCAAGGCAGGGAGGACTTTCAGATGGATGATAATGAGTCTGAAGAAGGCACCGATGTTGCTGGGGAGGACTATGATCTGAGAAATTATGACGTTGCCCAAGCTGATGATAGTGCCGGGAGTGAGAGTGAAGAGGAGGACCCGCATACGCCAAATGAAGCTGAAAATCTCATCAATGTTGCAGATGAACAGAGCAGCCACTTCATCAACGAACAGGGATCTCTCAACCATGGAGAGATTGGAAGTCCTGTCAGAACTGCTGGCTTGGTCCCTGTAGATGCTCAGGCTGATTCTGATTCTGAGTCTGACGAAGATGAGGACGAAGAAGACGAGGAGGAGGAGGAGGAACAGGAACAAGAGGAATACTATGAGGGAGAGGAAGGGAACGTTCATGGATATGAGGAAGAAGAATATTATGAAGAGGGCGAGGAAGAATATTATGAAGAGGGCGAGGAGGAATATGAGGAGGAGGCAGACAACTCAACGCCGCCACCTCCACAAAACCCGGTATTTATCGACCTCATGTCCGACTCTGACGACGATGAGGAGCTCGACCATCAGGAACCCCACAAAGAGGAGCCAGAGGTGGAGGGAAGTGCAGACGCACATGAACCAGATGCATCCACAATCTCCGCCCACCAACAGGAAGTTCTGGGTGAAAATGAAGAATCACAAGAGCCGAATCTAGCATTGACGCAAGGCACTACAGAGGAAACGGCTTCAATTAACGTGGATGCATCCGAGCAACCAATTCCAGCCCACCCAGATCAGCCAGACCACAGCGCGACAGAAGATAGTGTTCTTACCTTTCCAGAAACACTAGTCAATACGGGCAAACAGTCACAAACACAGTCGAACCGACCAGCGGCCACAGATTCAGAATCGCATGCCGATTCAATCAAACAGTATGGAGAGAGCCAGGAGACGGTCACAATCTCCAACGGACAAACCCAAACTCAAACAGTCGTCGGTCTGGGCGAGCAGAGTCCAGAGGTCCAACTTGATGAAAAGGAAACTCAAGTCACAGAGAGCCAAGAGATTGAATGTAAAGATATGAGAGGTGAAATCTCTTCACCATCCTTTGAGGATGCTACAAGTCAAGAGAAAGACCGGTCAAACTACGCAATGTTTAATGCGGATATGGATGCCCCGCCATCCGTAGAACAGGAAGAACCTATATTTACCACCGATATGGAACAAGCTTCCACCGCAGGCACACCAGAACAGCCAGCAACAAGCGATTTACCACCCACAGAGCCAACCCAGCGCTCACCAGTCTCAGCCTCCAAAACGGGTGGCCTTTCGATCACCGATGAAAACATGGGGGTGAGTATAGGCAAAGCATCATCTCCGACGACTGAACAGACATCACCAAAACTTGTAGAAAGTGTCTCTGCAGAAATCACTTCGAATATCGCCGCCGTGCCAACCGGCAAGTTTCCTACAGTGGAGCAACCTGCTGTTTCAACTACGAGTACCGATACCAAAGAAATGACCAATGACAGTGCAGGCGAAGATACGACGATGCAGGAGTCATCTCTCATATTAGGGGAGACTAATCAATTGGATTCTCTCCAACAAACGAACCTTGTACAGGATGAGATTGAGGTCAAGGATGGTTTGGTCTCGCCACCTCCAACCGGGATGTCTCAGCAAGTAAAAACAACAGATGAAGTGGCACAACCAGTTGCAGCTACGGTAGAGGCCGAGGAGGTAATATATGTGGAGACCGTAGAGGACAATGCTACGCCACACGAATCGCAACCAAACGATGCTATGGATGTTGACCAGATCGATGATGAGCATGATCATGACGCAGAATATTCTTTTGCGGCTGAGCAGCAAATCATATCAGAGTCACAGGAGTACCAGGACATATCCATGACTGATACTCTTCAGTCCGAGGTTGATACTGGCACGTCTGTTCCCAGTGAGCCCGTAGAGAAGGAGAAGAAAGCTCCCGCAAAGCCAGAGCGGGACATGTTAATTACAGTGCAGTCCTTGCGCAGCCGCGGACACCGAAAGAGTTTGTCCTCTGACTCGACGAGCACGCGCAATCAGGATCCCAGCATTTTGCTTGCAAAGGCCAACACGGGAGCGGCTGAACCCGATCTACGTCGAAAACATAAGACTCCCCCAGCTATTCACACAGGTCGGGTCACCCGCAGTCAGGTGGAAGCTGGTGTGGGCCAAACGGCGGGGTCTCCACATACGCCAACGAGGAGCATGCGACATCGTGCTACGCCAGAGACGCCCCACGGAAGTCAAGCGTCAGGGGTCACCCGGAAGGGTCGAAGCAAGTCGCCGGCCTCTACGTCGGAACTGTTGAAGACGCCTTCGGTGGCCGGCTCCTCAGCAGCTGCCGCAGCCGCAGATGACGAGCCAATCTCCGAATTGAAGTTACGTTTGCTGAGGGATCTTCGAACTAACCTGGGAGACTTTACACCCCTCAAGTCGCTCCGAAATCTAGCATCGAGGACGACAGACATCCTTGCCATTGCTACAACAACGCCTCCGCAGCCATCACGGCCGAAGAATGGCCCGCGTGACTACATGGTTGAGTTGATACTTACGGATCCATCATGTGCACCGTCCACTGTCGCCGTTGCGCACTTCTTCCGCCCGCACCAAGCATCTCTGCCGACGGTGCATGCAGGCGATGTGGTACTCCTGCGTCGGTTCCAGGTTGTCTCGGTTAGAAAGCGCGGCTTTGGGATCCGAACCTCAGACGCCTCGGCTTGGGCCGTCTTTGAGAAGGGCGACGAGGAGATGCTCGCTCAGATCAAAGGCCCCCCTGTCGAGCCTTCCGATGCTGAGGTAGCATATGCGGAGGGTCTTAGACGCTGGTGGGCACTCTTGGATGATAAGGTCAAGGCCAAGATCGAGAAAGCTACGGAGAAATCGGTCCAGCTTGCGGCCCGTGACGAAAAATAATGACATGTATGATAGCAGGATAGGTTTGGAGATGGTGGGATAAAAGGAGGGTATGTGATAACACATGCCACTGGTTATACAGACTAAGGTATTTTTTTTAAATAATATGCAGGTATCATGCGCAAGGCAGCCACAACATTTCTTTGACATGTGTAGTATTGTTAAGGTGGGCGGGATGGGTTGCAGCAGCCCCACGATGGCATCTCACTATCATCTCCGAAGGCATGGCAATGGAACATGCATAAACCCACACTCTTTATTTTATCGCTCATTCCTGCCGCGTGTCTCTCTCTAGTCAACTCTAGTATCGAGCATGTGGAACCCCAGAGCCAGAGCGGACATTCTCCGAGGTTTTTTTCAGACTAGACAATGAATCGGGGGGTAAAGGATCGGAATTCCCGATTCTACCCACTCAACAACAAAAGAAGGAGTTGCTGTTGGATTAAACACATCCCGATCCATTCACTTACATGGAGTTGTCAGCCATTGAATGCCGTGCGACACACGAACAATACCATGTATACGAAGTAGACATACCACGTAATTAGGCATTTTACCCAGCGAACAATATGTTGGGGAGTGACGTATCAGATTCCTCCCCCTTGCTGCGTTCAGTTTTGTTGACAGCGTCCAACATCCAGGTTAAGAAACATTCCCCCATCCAGGGTAGGCCTTCCCAAGACGGCCAGCACCCGGGAAACTTTGTTGGTGCGCGCTAGGGAGGATAAACCACGCCCGCCTCCGCAATTCGGAACCTCACTTGCTCACTAGGTAGTTTGCAGGTACACAAATGAGTACATACATACTATAGTCGCCGCTGACAAGATCGCGGTCCTTGACGCTATTGCAGTGGCCCCCCTTGTCCCTGAGCGTCCCCTGCTGCTGGTGGGAGCGTGCTAATGTCATAGTGGTCATGTGATGCTAAGTCAGGGTACAAGATGGGTACAGACCGGAGTACAAATGGCGGAGGGATGGAAGAGACGGAGAAAACACATGCAAACATACATAGGACACGAGCACACAGATAGCAGATCTCCGACATGCATGCAGACAGCAGGACTGCCTGATTGATAACGCCCGCCCGCACTTGAGAAAATTTTTAAAGGTGATCATCTGAGAGAGAGACATGCTTGTGATCGCGTGCAAAAAAGTCAGGGAGCGGGACGTAGCGAATTGCGGGGGGACTGGAAAACCTCTGCTGCTTCTTTTTCACCCAAAGATCGCGAGGCAGTGCGATTCGTGCCCTAGCGACCGCCCAACGCGTACTAATGCCTGTTCCCCATCCAGGACCCCTGGGCTCCCCATACAGACTATCCGCCAGGCCGCCCCATCATTCCCGTTGGCTGGTGGCGTTAGCCTTCGGGTGAAGTCGGAACGAGTTGTAGGGCAATTTGCACCCCTTTCCCCCGTAGTGATGTGATTGCCCCTGCGTGTGGTCTATATTGGCAGCGGTTGGTTTCGAATCTGCTGCAATGACATTCGAGGTGGCCGAGCTCAACTGCAGCCCCTGGCCGAGCTGGCAGTCTTTCGTTGGACTCAAAAGCATGAAACCGTCGTATACCGATCACAGGTTGTGTAATATGCACGTCAGGCAGACCGATGGGCCGGCGATGGGTGCTACATAGCTGCAGGTAGATACAAACCTTCCGAGCGAGTCAGGGTTGCTAATTACATACTGGGGCCGTTATAGGTGGCAGGGGTCCAAGGGATCCGGTTCACTCGGCATACAGGACGTGTGGTGATTATTCATTACATCTCGAACACGAGAAGACGACCTTACCATTGTCTAATTACGCTTCGGGCAAAAAGAAGGAGGAGGCCTAAGCCCGACGACCCAGTAACGATAGGCCATCCTGTTCTTCCCATTGGACCGGCTGCCTTTCAGTCTCTCCCACGTCCTACGTCCTACGTCCTACCTGTACAGGAGGGTTGGGTGCAGTCAGTATAATTGCAATCATCGTCATTCATGCCCACGACGACATAGGTGTGTGCCAAATGGGCAATTAATCCGACCTGGGCACTCCAAGGCGGGATTACCCCTTCTTGATGAATTCGTGACCGATACTCCGGAAGTTGTCCGGACACCGGTGGGGATGTGGAGCAGCGGCCGAAAAGAACGTCCGTTGCATCGGGGACAACAAGGAGCTGCCCAAGCCATTTCTCTGATCGGGACAGCTGAATGCTCTAGTTGGCACACTATGCAGTGACCGCCATGGAATGGGTTGTGCGGGTCTAGGATGGAATAATCCAGAGGGCGATTCCGCTAACCTGTGTTGTCGTCACACAGGAGCAACCCGTGGCTGATGAGATGCTGCCCAACAAATTTTCTTTGTTGCCTTGTAATTCTAAAAGGCGGTGCGTGCGGGGGGGGCGGGAAGGGAGCGCCTTTCCGAAAGCCTCTAGCGGCATGTCAGCTGCAACATAATGCAACAAAGCTCGGGACGGGCATGCAAGAGCATCTTGTTTTGGGGTTTGGTGACGGGCGGTTGATGATGTGGATGGCAGTGCTCCGGGGACCCCAAGCCCCCTGGACCTGGAGGACCGGCCATGTCGCTTGTCGACCTGAAAGTCGGGTGTCAATATCGCGCGCATCTGTCTCGTCATGTCATGCCATGTTGTTGGCGATAGCTCAGCGTCAGGTCAGGTCAGCACGTGTTGGCTATCAGCTACTACTGCTGCTGCTGCCAGTGCTTCACTTGTGCTAGAATCGCGAGCCAGTGCTAGACTTCTAGCAGGCCATGCTGTAGTTTATTTTGGTTAGTCGGTGTCGGGTAGCCATGGCTTTGCAAGCGCTGGGAATGGGCTCCCACTGCTTGGACACCTGAGGTACCTCGCTTGGTACCTCGCGGGTACCGCATGCACAGCGCTGTACCCCAGTGAAGGGGCCTCGTCTCCGGCACCGGGGCCGCTCCCCGTTTCGTCGCAACCCACTGCTGTTAGTCACTCCACTTGGAGATCCAGATCCTCAGCCAAATTTCCATCAAGCCTCGTCCGCCTTCGTTTTTGCCTTTAATGAACTTCCCTTTTGTGCTGACAATTCCGCCTGTCGCTCATTCTCCGATTTCTCCCTCCCGCCGCGTTTGCTTCCAAGGTGATTCCCCTGGCTCATTCCACACACCCTTGTCCGTGCCGCTCATTTGTGGTAAGCTTGCCTTGCTGCTCACCACATGGGGCTGCAGAGTCGCCTGGGAGCTGGGCTCCTGATAAATCGTCTGTGTCTCCCCACTACCTCGCCGGCGACCGTCTTGTCAGGCCACCCAGTCGTCTCTTCGCAGGTGCCCCTTCTTATTAATAGCCATCGTCGCCGGTTGCGTCGTTGTTTGCACGGTTCCGTCCCTCTTGCATCTTCTTTCTCCTCCACTTCCATGGCTTCGACTGGCACAGCAGCATCAACACTAGCCCCAGCTGAGACCAACCCAAGCGCTCCCTCCATCACTACCACAGCTGCTAGCATTGCCAGCAGCAGCACCTCCCACTCAGAGCCCATCCCCACACCTCGGTCCACGTCCCCCTCCTCTCCCGTTGCCTCGGGTCCAAGACACAGCAATAAAACACCACCTGCAGCCTCGTCCGGCCGCAAATTGATCAACTTCAATCCCATGACTTCCAACGTTGATATTGCTGCCATTGAGGAAGGCATCAAGGCTGCATCTCTCGACCAGCTCCGCGGATACGCCCAGAACCATTACGCTCAGGTCAGCCAAGACAAGGAGACCGAGTACATCTCAAGAAACATGACTGCTGGATACCCTCTTCTCCGCCAGCCCTTCTGGAACAAGGGTAAGTGACTTGGTCGTTGGATTTCGCCATTGTGTTTTTCCCCCACAAACTGCCTTTTCCAGTTGACTTGAGATGTTCTGAGCTGACATACATCCAATGCAGGTCTCTCCTTTACCCCAGAGGAGCGCGTTGCCAACAACCTCACCGGCCTTCTCCCCCACACGATTGAGAGTCTGCAGGCGCAATGTGTGCGTAGTATGAAGATGATCAATTCTCGCCAGACCAACATCGACAAGTATCTATACCTGTCCAGCATCAAGGAGCAGAATATCGATCTGTTCTACCGATTGTTGATGGATAACGTTCGTGAGTTGATGCCTCTGGTCTACACTCCGACCATCGGCGATGTCTGCCTCCAGTACTCCACCTTATATACTCGCCCCGAGGCACTGTACATTTCCATAAAGCAGCGAAAGTCAATTCGCACAATGCTTGAGAACTGGCCCTGCCAGGATCCCGAGATATGTGTCGTGACTGACGGTTCCCGTATCCTGGGTCTCGGTGACCTGGGAATGAACGGTGTTGGTATCTCGGTAAGTCAAGACCTAGAGTTTGTTCCCTGGGAGTGGCTTGTTCTGACTCGAGCTGCGCTTGATAGATTGGCAAGCTTGCTCTTTATACAGCTGCCGCTGGTATCCACCCCGGCAAGACCCTGCCAATTGTCCTCGACTGTGGCACCAACAACGAAAGCAATCTTAAGGACCCCTTGTATCTTGGTCTGCGACAGAAGCGAGTGTCCACCGAGGACCAGCGTAACTTCATGGACGAGTTCATGGCTGCTGTAAAGGAGGTTCACCCCAACATGGTTGTCCAGTTCGAGGACTTTGAGACCGAAAAGGCCTTCAAGTACCTTGACCGTTACAGACACACCCAGAGGTGCTTCAACGACGACATCCAGGGTACTGGTGCTGTCGTTCTTGCTGGGTAAGACTCTCCATTGGTAATATTTCATCATCAGAAGACGAGCTAACTCCCATTCCCAGATATATTGGTGCCGTAGACCTTTCTGGCGTGCCCCTTGAGGAGCAGCGCCTTGTTTTCATGGGCGCTGGTTCTGCTGGTGTCGGTGTTGCCAAGCAGCTCATGGAGTATTATACCCGTAGGGGTCTCTCAGAGGCCGAGGCCAGAGACAAGTTCTGGCTCGTAGACACCAAGGGCCTTGTGACCAAGGACCGCGGTGACAACCTCGCTGAGCACAAGAAGTACTTTGCTCGCACTGA